CGCAGTTACATTATAGTCAAGCGGAATCGCACAGCAACCCTCTGTTGCGTGACTTAGTAGACTACACATTCGAGCAAGTTCGCAAGCACACAAGACCACGGCTCACACCGTGAACAAAATTAAATCTTGCAATTCTACGCCCAACCAAAATTACAATTTTTTCTCATATGGAAATTCTTGAATCAACTTTAGATCAATTTAAAATTACTGAATACTAGTTAACAATGTCAAGACACCCCTCCAACAGACTCACTTCTCCTCTTTGCTCTTCTCCATTCCTTCCTTCCTTTCTTTCTCCTTCCCTTCTTTCTCCCTGACTTTTCTGGTACCTGGGCAACAAGATCTGATAAACCTACCAAACTACAGTACTTTGAACCAAGAGCAAAGGTCCCACGGCCCGCTCTGACGGACAACGACGAATAGAAGTCACTTCAATTAATTTATGATTGTGTAGTACCACCATGTCTGTATACACCGTACAAGAATACGTCAACATGCACCTCATTTATGGGAAATGTAGATGCAATGCTAGTGCTGCAGCTAGGCTTTAACGTGAGAGGTACCCAAATGTTGCTCGTCAACCCGATCACCGAGTTTTTGTTAATGTGTGCCGTTTACTCTTCGAGGGACGGTACCCGAAGTACTTCAGTAAGTCAAGTAGAAGCAATCACGGGAGTGCCGAATCTTGTGAAAGAATGAGCACGTACAGCGAGTACAATCTCTACAACCCCGGGATTATCTCCACAGAGTTGAGTTTTGTCAAACACACACCGCAATTTTTAGTGAAAAGTTCATAGACTGATGAGTCTACAATTAAAAAAAGACCGTTACATGAATCTAAATAACTTACACGAGTATCATGTAGAAAATCCACATTTGATGAGGCAAGATAGATCACAGTATGGTCTTAAAGTAGGCATCTGAATGGGAGAATCATCATGTGGTATCAGGAGTACGGCTGCCGAGCGCACTATGTCCGTTCAGCTAGAGAATCTTTGTTGTGGAATACCGGAGCAGATGGTTAGGGCTGTCTGGAACAATTTCCGGGTCAGCTCATTCGCCTGACTTAAGTCCATTCGATTTTTTCCTGGGAAGTGGTGAAAGAAAGAGTTACGAGACAGAATAATCGAAGCAGTCAAATTTGATAATAACGGAAGATTCGCCCGTCTGATAACCCGCAGGGGTATTATGTAAATTGAAAAGTCAGGTTGTCCTACTATACTATATTGTCGTTCATTTCATGCCCACTTGTAACAAGCGCGGAATGAACTATTTGCAAACTAGCCTACTTAGTCAACAAGTTGATATTTTATCGACTTTTTCTGACATTTTATAGGTTTCTTACGTGATAACCCTGCCCATCATTTTTAAGAAGATGTCAAGCTTGCATTGCTACTGCAGGAAGGCAGTTTGAGCATTTATTGTGAGTTTAATAAATACATTCACGAATTAATAAGAGCGGCGTTACTATCTGTCTTGCTGCCACTGCGTAGAATGCCACTGTCCATCACTCCGTCTAAAAAAGAATTGAAATTTGGGAACTACAAAAACATCACAGAGTGTAGGTTTTCCGATTTTTTTAAAGCTTATAATTTGAAAAGTACGCGATTTTTCTTATATCTTTCGGATAACTATTATGACTCGGCCTATCCCCCGTTTCCCGTTTAACGTCGGCTTCTGGGACACTTTGGATATACGATTGACTTTCAGGTATGGTGGTTTGGCAAGGAAGCATGTAGACAAAACCTAATTAATGAGATAAAGGGTGATCCATCTAATGGTTAATTTCTAAATCGATGGTTAAAATGAAAACGCAGAGCTCTTTTTCCAAACGGGTTTTTTTATTTCAGATTACTATCCTTTCAGCTAATGATGAATCACAATCTCATTCATATGCACGCTACGGCTGATCTTGACGTAGCCGATTCTGTCGACCCAATTTTTCAGTACATCTTCCAAAGTCTGCGGCGTTATCTCACCAATGGTTGCATGAATGTTGGTCTTCAAGTGCTCAATCGTCGCTATGGCATCCGCATAGCATTTATCTTTTACGCTTCCCCACCAAAAATAATCCAACGGAGGTAAATCGCAGCTTCGCGGTGTCCAAGTCACATCACCCAAACTAGTAGCACGATTTTCGAACTGTTCTTGAAGAAGAGCGATTGTTTCGCGGCTGTGTGGCAGGTCTCGCCGTCTTGCTGAAACCACACGCCATCCAAGTCTTTTTATCGATTTCAGGAAAGAAATAGTCAGTCAGCATGCTTTGATAGCGCATACCACTGACCATGACGGCGCGTTCTTCGTCATCTTCGAAAAAAAGGGCCAATATTGCCACCAGACCACAAACCACACCAGTCACGCGTTGTGGATTCATTGGCTTCTAGGTAATTTCATTTGGCTATCCTAAGCACCAAATATGGCAATTTTGCTTATTGATGTAGCCACCAAGATGAAAATGGGCCTAGTCCGAAAAAATTATTTTTCGGTAAAAATGGGGGGCCACGTCCAAGAGTCCAATTTTGAGTGATTCCCAACGTTGTTCAAGCGTATATCGATTCATATTCGTACACCGCAGACGGTTTACTAAATTCCTGTCAAAACAGAACTGATGTAAGTGTTGCCGACAGTGAGATAAGCCCTAGTTCAAAAATTAACCAACAAATGGATCACCCTTTAGATTACTCTACGATAATATAAATTTTTTCGCATAAGTTGCCTGAGGAATCATTTTCTCGAATTACTGTGATTAATTAAAAGGAGAAGGTTGTGGGTATAAAAGCTCTATCAAAAGCTCTATTGGTAAGATAAAGATTACTATTATTATATTTTGCACAGTCAATTCAACTCTATACCTGTACTAATAGCTATGAGATCCAATAATCGCTTTGGTTTTAGACCGATTTCACCGCATGGGAAAGTCGGTGTTAAGGCATCATTTTATGATGTCTCTTATAATATTAAGAAAACGCATTTCCGTTAGATATGCATATTGTAATACTTTAATTTTGGGATTTCCATACGCTGATGGATACAAGTTCTCTATGAAACTTCAGGTAAGCGGTAACTGTAAGTAGGAATTTGTTGATGCCTTAAGGGTGTTTGGCATGTTAAGTGCATCTCAGGAGCTTTGGTGCAACTTTAAGTTATGAATTTCAAGGATCTAGTTCGCGTGAGAGACCTTGACGTAAAATTTGCATACTTAGGGCTCAACTCATCCAAGGCATTAGCTATAACGAAAGCAGAACTTGGCGGATACGTTCATGATTGAAATGCTTAGAATGAAATCAGACGACAAAACGTTCATAAACATAGTCTGGAAAGCAACACAAAATGAAACAAGTATATACAGGTAAAACTAAATCTGTCTGACGGCTTGAGTTCAACGTGTACGAGAGAGAAGTTTTAATTTAATAGTTTGCTTTCATTTTGATTAGAATTATTTATTTCAATTTTGATAAGACTCATTGCTTTAATTTACTTCAAAATTATCTTTGATTTCCACCGATGATGATAAAATCAATACATCCTGAATTATAACATTACGCATTACACATTATCACTGCCTGCGCGTGCCCAAGTAAAAACCATTTCGAAGCAGGACGACACTCCCAATGAGCGCGAGATGTGTACTGACCAAAACTGCTCATCAATGGTCATGGAGGTGGAAATCTTGCCTTGGAATGTCCAAGATGCGGTGTTGCCAAGCGAACCAATGATGCAATGTTGCAGAATTTGTGGCGATCCTGAACTCTCATTTCGTCCTAAAATGAAGAGCCGTTAGGACCGCTCCGGAACCGGTCCTAAACAAATTCACAATTCAAAACTGTGTACGCTCAAAATAATACCATTATTTGGGCATAGAGAATAAACTAATGCATATTTTCAACATGCATCTTAATTCAAGGAACTGGTGTAACATATTGGCAACGCGGCAGATTTCCACGTAAGCGATGCTACGCAACGCGGTGATGAGATTCACTATCTAGTTAGCCTCTATCTCTTTATAACATATGTGTCTATTCACACTTCTCTCTCGTACACATTGAACTCAAGTCGTCAAAAAAATTTGGTTTTCAGTGTATTACAACGTTAGGCTACCTTTCTGCGATGAAAGTTTGTTTGGATATTTTTAAATGAGTAAACCTGTATTAGGTCTGGGAAAGCTAATATAAGTGAATCTACGTGGTGCAAACATTTATTATTCTACAAATATGTGCTTTTTCCAAATACACTTTTAATACGAAGAAGCAGATACATTTTTAAGCAGAAAATTCACCAGTCAAGATCAAACCGACTGATAGCACTAGCAAGTATGAAAGCTTAATATTAAGCATCTACCAATAACCTTCCAATAGGTGTTTAAAATAAAGGAGAGATAGTGAGTAGTAAAGTCACTACCGGAAACATAGTGTGAAGATACGACACTTATTCAGATAAGAAAAGCATCAAGACATAATCCTGATACGGTTATACATACTTTGCACATGCAGTTTTGATAGTGTTTTATTGTAATCGCAGTAATTCGTATTAGTCAAAATTATTTTAGTTATCTTGTTTATCGTATCTTATGATAAAGCAGTTTAAAATAAGCCTCCAACGATATAAGTATGTTCGATCAGTTGGCGAAGCAAACACACTTAGGCTAAGTAGCTACTGTATCAAATGACAACTGTTGGTGAGAAAATTTTAGTTGTATCCACTTCATTTAGTAGTTTCATTTAAGAATGTCAATTTGTATTGTATAACAACCATGCCATCTGACACAATGATAGTGTAAGGAGGTTTCTGCGTCATTAGTTGGAGCAACATGCATTTCTCCATATTGGGTTTCATTAGTACCGTTCATGAGCAAAAGGCATTGATTATGGCACTTCAAATGCTTGATCATAAAATATTATATTTTAAAACAGTACTTTACATTTTAATGTCATTTGCTTCAACTATAAATATTTTGCAGCAATCTCCTTTAAGCTTTCACGCTACATTCTTGTCAAACTCACCCTAGACTGAGGTAGACAAACTCCTTCTACCCCTGCAGCTACAGGGCCATCACACTGTAAAAATAGGGTATTATTATATACGATGTTCTATCCTTTTATTTTATTTCTCAGTGCTTGTGTCGTTGGGTTTTAACGTGTTTTCTGGAAGGAGTGTCGTTTCAATCAACTTGACTTTGAAAGTATACATTTTTATTTGTATGTAATGGCTTATTTCATGCATATTTGAACTGTTTTAAAAGTAAATGGTGGGAAATTACACAAGTACATAATTTAAAACACTTTATTAATACTTCAAAGTAAAACATAAGTTAATAAATTTAGGTCGTCTCATATGCATTCTCAAGAAACATACTACTGCATGATAGTAAAAGTCTGAGACAGCTGTTGAAACAAACAAAGTTGTATTTACTAACAGACGACGAACAAGGCGTATGTAGAGCGTATGTTCATGTAACTTGGCTGCATGCCACTTGCATATCCATTTGCGCTCCGTTCAGCACAAAACAAACTTGTTGATGCCTGTTTGCTAGACACTTGTCAACATGTGAGACTGCAAGGACTACTTACATTCATACAAACAGGAGAAATAGCTACTTCATAAGAACTGAATGCATACCATCCGTTGGTGAGTTGGTGACTACTTTTCTGGAAGATACGAATATGTAAATACGAATATTTTATTGTTTCGATTATAGGTGTATATTAGATTATAAATGACCGTTTGCGCTGGTTAAACATTCACGAAACAGTCTCAAAACATGTTACGCTTCCCACTGTAACAATTCCCAATACAAATACTCTATAATCCTCAAACAAAACATTTAATATATTTCAAAATGGTGGACTAGCGAAGTGCTGTTAACGTATTTGTACAAATGTACAATAATTGCTTATAACCCAAGAACAAATCATCACAATGCTATAGTACGTTAAAAGCGGTTCTCTTTTTCAGATTGGTCCCTGAATATTTATTTCAAAAACTGTCAAATTTTTCACAATTTTTTAATCAAATTTTAGATAATTTATGCGTTTTGATGATTTATTGTCTAGTTATAAGTGATTCAGTGTACAAAAATGTTCAAGTTTTACAGCTTTCCAGACCTCCATTTCTTAAGTAATAAATTAATATTATAGGCTTATAAAGTACCCATAAGAAGCTTCAATATGAAGTATCATATGCCTTCCATTCCATTTAAAAATATTCCAACATGGCGTACAGTCCCCATTTTGAAATTTTGGCTGCCAGTCCTACACCAAAATACAAGGTGTTAATTAAGTATGTCCCATTAATTTAACAGACGTTTCTTTGAGTAATTTTAAGACAAAAAGTCCATATAATCACGGGTCCGCAAATTCTTCGTTCGAAAGATGCAGGGTGTTAAAATTAAACAAAAAAATGGTTTTTCGTAAATATCTTCAATATCCTTTAGTCAATTTTGTTTTAATTTGGCGGTGCTACTTAAAAGATTAAGGAACTAATTCCGCCCAAACTTGATTAAGTTTATTGAGTCCAGTGGCATCTCCACCGGGATCTGAACGAATATTTGTGACAAAAAAATATACGCCACTGAATTTTGTGCTATTTTTATTATGTTCTTTGGATTTGGCAGATAGAAATTTAACTTTTGAATTTTTTTCGTATCTTACTTAGTTTTCGAGAAAAAAAAGTCCACTTAATTGGATATCCCTGCACCACGCAAGGAATGTGGGAAAAGTTTCTTTTGTAAATTATTATTGTTATATAATTTTTTATTACTAATTATGTAACATCAACAAAAAATACCAAATAACATTAACATCTAGACTAACCAATTTCACTAGATTAAGTTTTGGTAATGGCTTCAATATAACTGTCTAGCCTTCTCATCATTGAATTACGCACTGACCTGAAAATACCTGGCTTATTTTTTATTATGTGACATAAATGAATGATTCTATTCCGTACAGTTTTTTCACTTCCAACAGTAGTTTTGTATACCAATGCTTTAAAGCATCCTAGAGAAAATAATCTAAGGGATTCATGTCGGGCGAGCGAGGGGGCTGCTCTTTCAATCCAGCGAATATGGTAATTTTCATCCAAACATTGCCGCGCCACTACACTCAAGTGTAGTGCATGTATCACATACAGAATCTTTCCATGACTGGAACTTTTTCTAAATGTCCAGGTGAAACGAATTCCAAAAACCTTCGGTATTCTTCTCCGTTCTAGGTGGAAGAAAATGAGGCTCAATGAGATGGTCACCGACAATTCCAGCCGAAATATTAAAATAAAACTATTCTTGAAAATGATGTTTTATTAAGGCGTGTGAATTGTTTTCGGCCCAAATGTGATTGTTGTGGAAATTAATAATTGAATTGCGAGAAAAACAAGCTTCATCTGTAAACAATATTCACTTATAAAACTTCGACTCCTCATCATTTTACTGCGTAATCAGTCAGAAAAACCTAGTCTTGATCTCTGACCAATAAAGCCTGCACACGTTGTATATGATATGGATATAGCTTCTAAACTGAATCCAAATTCAAGATGAGATGTAAATAATAACAGTTAGCGCGTGATCTCTCGGTAACAGGTGGGGACAACGCCTCTTATTGGTCAATTCGCCATTAAATTTCAAGCGGTCGCCTGGCGGAATAATGCGCGGGGCAGGGGCAGGGCAGGCAGAGTTGCATTCAGGCCACCGACCGTCGGGTGTATCACTGCGTGCTCGTGCTTTCGTATTCACCTTGCTTGGTTGTTGCTGTTGTTGTTGTTAAGTGTATTTGAGTAATTTGTTAAGTTTCTGTTTGTTATTGTTATTCCTCGTTATTATTTGTTTTGAACCAATCCTGAACATGTCCAGTACAGATACAGCTGATGAGGCTGTAGGCTACTCCCTTAGCCTTCCTATAAAGCGATCAAAAAAAGACATCTTAGCGTAGACATGAAAGACGTCATATTGAATACATTCAAGATAGAGCGGAAGGAAGACGAAACATCAACTAACCCGAAAATGTGGCAGTTAAAATTGGGGTATGCCAAGCGACAGTGTACACCGTTTTGAACGAACATAAGAAAAAGCATGCCTTTTCCAAGCCACTGACGGGTAAAAATCGCAAAAGTATCATAAGATCGTTGGATGACGCTGACAAGCATGCGATTCGGAGGAAAGTGCACGAGTTCTTCTTCAGAAACGAAATACCGACAGTTGATAAAGTACTACGGGAGGTTAACGAGGATGCTATGTTACCAAATTTCAAGCGTTCGACTATTCATAAACTTTTGAAGCATCTTAATTTCGAATGGAAGAAACGACGTCGTAACAGCTTACCTATGGATAGAGAAGAAATTGTTCTGTGGAGGAGAGAGTACCTGACCAAAATTAAATCATTCAGGGATCAGGACAGGAAGATCTATTACCTGGACGAAACCTGGATTAACGCTGGGCACACTACTCCCAAGGTATGGGTTGAGTACACTGTGACTTCATCCAGAAGGGCATTTCTAGATGGACTGTCGACCGGATTGAAAAATCCAGCAGGTAAATAGATCGAAGTAGTTCACGGTATCAATTTTTGCGCACAATATCTCTCTATCTTCGTACCTACAAGACGTGCATGTGTACTTAGCGGATTTTATCTTTCTAGGCAAAGGACAAAGGCTCATTATTTGCCACATTGGGGGTATAGATGGTTTCGTGGATGACGGCTTATGGTCTTTTGAGTCACAAAAAAACACTGTGACTACCATGAAGAGATGATTGGGGAAGCATTCGTGAAGTGGTTTTCAGGCATTTTACCACGTCTCGAAGACAATTCTGTGGTTGTTTTGGATAATGCTCCCTATCATTCTCGCAAAATAGAAAAAATCCCAACTTTAGCTTCTAGGAAATCAGACATTCAGAGCTGACTCCGTTCCAAAAATATAACTTTCGACCCTTCCTTACTGAAATTACAACTATTAGATATTGTAAAATGACACAGACCAAGACATGATAAATATGTCATAGATGAAATGGTCAAAGCACACCACAAAACAGTACTCCGTTTGCCGCCTTACCACTGTGAGCTCAACCCCATTGAGCTCATATGGGCAGATGTTAGGAATTTTGTTGCTGCACACAATACAACATTTAAATTTTCTGACATGCAAGACCTGTTCAGAATTGCTATATAGAGGGTCACACCAGAAAGATGGCAAAAATGTGTGCAGCATGTTCAGGAGAAAGTGGAGGTAGCAATGTGGAGCAATGTGGGAGCTGGACAACATAATTGAGAGAGAATTTGAATCCATCGTCAACATTAATGACGATAGCTCTTCAAGTGAGTCTGAGTAAGTTTCGCGTTTTTGTTTTGTCACAGAATACATACCTGTATGGGAATCCTAGTTATAGTGAAATATTAACTTACAGATAAACTACAGACAATGCAAGTCCGAAGTGCACCTTCAAAATCTATTTTCGATTGATTGAACAGCCTTATATTTATTCCATGTACAATGTCATCTCTACCCCTCGTTGACTATGGATTCATTGTGCATAGTGAGCAGCTGGTTACCTCTGGTATGTATTTCTCCACGTTGTCTAGTTTGAAAAATCTGTAGAAAAACTTAGCACCCCTTCAAGAATAAAAATTTGATTTTGCGACAACCTTAACTATAACTACTTCACTATATTAGATAATTTCGTTAAATACTGTCATCTTTGTTTTACAACACGTTGGTGGTAGTCCATCATTCGGAGGTAGTCCTGAATGCGGCCCTGTACGCCGTCCTTGCTTTTGGCAATCACGCATCCATTCTATCTTGGGTGTAAATACACTGTAGTCTCTTAAAACCTGCCACACTGTGACTTGGGTGATATTCAGTTCTTCAGCTATTTTCCGAGTACTGGTATGGGGATTTGCGTCTATTTTATTTAAACACAGCTTCTTCAATTTGATCTGTTCCTACCGTTGCAGGTCTCCCGACCGTTTTGCCTGTTTTAGAAAATCATGCATAGAGACGTACAAAAATTCTTCTGTTAGGCATTACACGCTGAGGAAATATTTCATAATAAATGCGACTCGCAGCATTAGAGTTTCCCTGAGCCTTTCCATAACAGAAATGCATATCTGCCATTTAACTATTAGTCAACTAAACCATATTGTACAAAAAATAATCACTAAAACCACTTTTTATAAAAATTATAAATTAGTAGCAAGTTGTTTACTAAATGCTGCAATTGTTTTCCAAGACAACCCTTGATTATTATTTACTATTTCTTAGTTTCGTAAAATTCATTAGTTTAGATGTTAATGCAATGTAATTTAATAGTGTTTATTTGTTGTAATTACATAATTAGCAATAAAAAAATGAAAACAAAATTTCAAAAGAAACCTTTCCCCATATTCCTTGTGATTCCAGTGATATGCAATTATGTGGACTTTCTTTTTCTCGAAAACTAAGGAAATTACGAAAAAAATTCAAGAAGCCGAAAAGTTGTATTTCTATTTGCTTAACTCAAAAAATATAATAATAATTGCGCAAGTATATGCATATACACCAGTAAATTGCAACAAAATTAGGTAAAGGATACATCCTGAATTCGTTTTACACGAAAAACTATGTCACTCATTGCCGTCGGTATGTATGTCAGACGGTCTGTCTGCTAATCTTATAACCGCCTATAACTTGAGAAGTACCGCTTGGATTTCGGTGAAATTTTTACACAATGTAAGTATACAGTGTAGTTTTTGAAAATTGCTGTAGTAATAGCAGAGAAAAAGGCTTGAAACGAAAAAATCGCTCAAACTGTTTCTTTTGACGTTTCATAAGATCCTAATCATTTTTGACAAAAAGCTTAGGGGTACGAAAACTTGGAGGCGGGGGTTGTAAGGGGGAGGCAATGATTTATCTGGTCTTTTGATGCTGGTGCATTTATGCGCTCCCAACATTGGTAATTCTACCCACCTATTAGACATATTTCAGACAATATATTTGTACTTTAGCCCCGAAAACTTGCCGGTGCTACGTCTGTCCGAGATAGGTATAGGGGAGAGGTGACGTTTCCAGAATGCACTACCGGTAGGACAGGGAAATAAAGTCTATGGACTAACTGTGTGGACATGTTTGACTGACTTTTTTCTCAGGGTTTGTGCTGAATATATTCGCGATTCAGTATACAAAAACTTTCAGCTTTGACAGCCTTACAGTCCGCCATTTGGAAAACTAATGGTTATAAATTGTACGGTTATGAACGATCATCAAAATAATCACAGGAATCCCCATTTCCTTTAAAAAATGCTACAAGATGACGCGCAGCCACCATTTGAAATGTCTAAATGTTATGTTTTGCGTTACGATCTAGAATTTATGCGTCAATTTCTCATCCCGAATTTTAGTTTACTAACTTGAACTATTAAAAGAATAAAGAATGGAAACCATTCTGAAAAGCGCTGTATGTACATATCAGTTAAAAATAAATCAACGCCATGGCAAGGAATCACATTGAAATATGAAGTTCTTGTAACAGCAGCTCACCAAAAAGTATGAGTTTTATCAGTTCTATGACTTCCATTCTATTTAATCGCCAGTTTTTCTCCATGAAATACAATTTTCCTCATAATTCTTCCGCAATCTTAGCGATAGGGAACATTTTTAATACAAATTACTGTTTCAGTTTTCATAATTAAATGCCGAAAACACGAGCTTTATTGCACTCCTACCACTAATTTATGATTTTATTCGGCCGCGAATATCCTCATTATAATTTAAAAATGGCGATAATAAACATAATCAAGCAAGCGAGCTTTGAGATAGTAATTCAAAGTTGGAAAGTTCCAGAGCAGCCGTGATGGTGCTAGCGGTAATTGCGAATGGCGTGATAACGAATTATTAAACTGCATTATTCACATGAAATGGGTTAGAAAGATAGATAGAACAGGTTACCATTTCGTGTTATAATTGTATCAATTACATGCCATCCGAGTAATTCTACAGATATCCACTGGTATTACGTGCGATTCATCTGATATAACATGTATGCACACACGGTTTTGTCTGCCAGGTCATTCTGAAAATGTATTCACTACTAACATCGACTCATATTAACACATCCACTCCAGAAGTTGAAGAGCGTGAAAAGTGTGATCTTGTCACTCCGGGGGTTAGAATATCACTTGTCAAACTAAAAGAGATAATGCATGTATCAGTATCAAACTACAATCTAAGACCTTGGCCACATGAAATAAAATACTGCCTTTCGTAGGAACTAACTTTTAAATGGTAATGAGGTAGACTTTTTGTGCGAAAAATGCAGGTAAAATAGAGGTGACGACAGGCCACCAAGAGTGGTGTTAGGATGCAAAACAAAATTCAAATACCAAGAGAGCAACATTCGAAATAGATTGAGGGAAGAAATGTGTGTAACCGGAAATGGAAGAAAAGCCCAGATAAGACCTACTAGTACTACAAAAACTGCTCGCATGTTCGAGGTGCTGCCGCCCCGACTACAATAGCCATGCTCGATGCTGTTGAGAGGAGGGCTGCCTCACTGATTGATGACCCTTCTCAACGGGCTTTGCTCCTCAGAGCTCTCCTCCATGATGGCGCCGCAGGATTTGTCTGTCAGACCTGACCGGCTTCCATCCTAACCATGTTGAACTTCGTACATCCAAAACTGCCCGATACGACCGCTAGTTTATTCCTAGGGTATCGGTATTGTGGAATAATCTACATGAAGAGGCCTTTTCCAGTTCTACTAACCTTGGGCAGTTCAAAAAGCGGATTAACACAGTAACTTTAAGCACCTCATAGCAGTCGCGGTGTCCTGGCATTTAGGCTTTGGCCTGCGCGGCTGCTTCGCAGTAAAAAGTAATGATAGGTACTATAAAAACTGCGTTTTATCTTACATTTTTTGTGGAAATAAATTTATAAAGTTATGGCGGTTATGCGATTTTCATGGTTAATTATTTTAAACAAACTCCTAAATGGTCAACATAACGTAAAAAGATATTCAAACATTCAATTGCTATTTATACAAAATCACGATAGATGTACATGAATTGTTAGCCTTTTCGTGTTTTTTATTTCCAGAATTTTGAGGCGGAGGTTCAGAAAGTATATTGAAAAAAAGGTGTAATTTTGCCTCTAAAAAAGAAACCGGCAACAAGAACCGTGAACGTGCACATAAAGATTTATATTTTCACCTTATAGATTGGAAACAATACACCTTTTATGGATCTTTCCAGACTTCTCGATATGGTAGGTTCTAAAAAGTATTACATAAAACGTTATTTAACCCTTAAATTGTTTAAAAATAGTATCAGCGTACTTTTCCGAAGAACGTACGTACAATTTTATTTTTGTCTTGTACAACGGAAAACAGTTCTGGGGAACTTTTTCAGTATTTTTTGAAATATGTAGAATTTTATTAGCTTAATTAAACTGATACGGCCAATAAAGAATAATAAATGATACTAAGGTACTAAGCACAGATTAACGCAATTTGAGCTGTTCCTACAAAATTTACGGATAACTTACTAACATACATACAACATACTAAAGCAAAAAGTGTTATAGGGGGTGGAGGAGGGTATACAGGGTTATCCAAATTAAGTGTCCACCATTAGTAACTTTGTTATTAGTGAAAATACAAAGTTGTTTGAATTAGCAAACTAGTAGCATTTTTAACGCTGGTAAAAATGAGAAATAAAAAAAAACAATTGAGAGTCGTTATTTTGATTTTTTTCAGTAAAATAACATTTTTTTAAACGGAAACCCCTGTATATTATATTTTTTTCTGTTAAAGCATCAAATTTTAAACAAAAAAGCTTACAATAACTTTTCTCCTAGGTTACAAATTGTTGAAGTTATGGCCTCCAATCTGAAACAATTAAATTGTATCGACAAACTTTATTTTCAACATCAACTTATAATCTTACAAAATACAATAACAATTTTTTTTAAAGAAGATGCTCGAAAACACCACCTTGTTCTTCAATACATTTTTGGGCACGTTTTGCAACTGCTCGAACTGTCTTAAGTATGGTCCTACCATCTATCTGGGTTATCTTTTCCCTAACTGCAGTCTTTAACGCGTCAAGGTTATCGTACCTTCGCTTGTAAATTTGGTTCTTTAAGTAACCCCACAAGAAGTAATCAAGTGGGTTTAGATCTGGTGATCTGGGAGGCCACTGTATTGGGCCATTTGTTCCTATCCACTGATCATTAAAAGTAGTACTTAGAAAATGATAAGTACCTATGGAGTTGTGGGCAGGTGAAAAGTGAAATTAAAATTAACTTAAGTTCTCATTAATTATTTTTATATATAATTTGTAAAATATCATTACAACGTAATATTTAAAACTGCCAAACACCTCCAGAGGTCCAGACACCTTGAAGCACCCAAAAAAGTAATTAAACTTTACTTACCTTCTCACGCTTGATCTTTATGTATGTCATTAAGGGGACTATTTTAAAACTACATTCGCTTACCTGGATAAATCGTGTGGGCTAAACATTACGCCAGTTACAAAAAAAAATCCGCAATAAATATGAGCACGCCGTTACTAAGCTTGCGTTTTGGAGGTACTGGGCTTTCTCTATGAATAAATTTGCCGTTCTCAAGGTCAGTCTTAGGTCAAATGATCTGCATGGGACCTAAAGTACCTCCTTAGCGAGATACAGGGTGTTGCAGCTGTAATTTCAAAATAAAAAAATATCTTTGGAGTGGGATAAAAATCTTTTTGAGCCTGAGATTACACCACTGCTCTGGTGTAAAAAATGGACGAACGGAAATTTTGAATCCCATAGATGAAAAATGAGAATCATATCATTTATATTACGCTATTGACTTTTTTGAAACATCTAACGCACTTTCAAGTAAGATATTCAATGTTACATAATATGCTTCTCTTGAAAAACTTCTTATCAGTCTACCTGTTTGGGAAAACAATTGATTTGAATATTTGAAAGATTGATAGATAGATAGATAGTCTTTATTGTCTTTTGGTCATAAATAGCTATGACATGAGACTTGTCAACATTACATATACAATACATAAGTATGCGATATGCAAAAAAGAACAGGTAGTTAATTAAAACAGTAATTGCGATAATAAATAATAAACAAATAAATAAATAAAAAAGGAGTCATTACAAACACAAACAAATTCTTAATGACATCTAACGAGCATATAAAAAAAACAATTTTAAATAAATAAAAACAATTGAGCACTTAAAATGTCTAGAAGAGGAGCAATAAATAGACTGTTTCTTTTCCGTTAAGCTTAATAAATAAATAAAAAGAATAAATAAATAAAATTAAGCAGTTAGGTATTCGTCGACGGTGTAGTAACACTTTTCTGATAGATATCTTCTCAGACGTTTCTTTAATGTCAACATATTAGTGCTTCTGCGGAACTCAGTTGGTAGTTTATTGTAAATTTTTGTACAGGCATAGAGTGGTGATTTCTGAAACTGGGCTGTTGCGTGGACTGGTATACTTAAGTCAAAACCTATTCTGGTGTTATAGTGCCTGTTAACTTTGTTGTTTTGAATAAAACTGGTCCTATGTTTAAATGCGAAGAGAGCGCATTTATATATATAGATGGATATTAATGTTAGCAGATTATATGTTCTGAAAATATCTTTACAAGAGTCTCTTTTGTTGATATTGAAAATCAGCCTGAGTACTCTTTTCTGCAAGATGAAGACTCTGTTGTTCATGACTGCTTGTCCCCATAGTATTATATTATTGCTAAGATGCGGGTAAGCCAAGGCCGTAGTAGATATCTATAAGAGCTGTTTGGGAGATGTTTTGTTTGAGTTTCAAGATTGCAAAGTATGCACTATTGAGTTTCTTAATGACATGATTCACATGTGACTGCCAGCCCAACTTCCCATCAATATGAGTTCCTAAGAATTCGGTTCCGTCTGAGATAGTTGAAGGTTACTTGAATTCTGATGGTTGATTCTAATATATTATGTTATTAGGGTACTATTCCAAAACTATATTTCAAGTCAAACAAATCGTAAGGGCGAAACATCCCGCCAGACACAAAATATATTCAGTAGTAACAATGACGATGACAAGTGAAGAATATAAAGCTTCCACTGACATTAGTGATAATGTCCAGGAGCAAATTATTGATCATTATTAGTAATGAAAACTGTTTTAAAAATAAATTACTGTATGCAAAAATGAGCCTTACCAGTAATAAAACGGTAACAACAGAAAATATCATGTCTTTATAGAAACAACCAGGGTAACGTTACCACTGTGAAAAGTTTGGTTACTAGCGGAATCCTTAACATTTGTCGTCAATGTCAACTGCGCTATCTAGCGTTTTCGCAACTGGCGAGAACGTATTTTGATCGCGGAAATTTTTGAAATAAGTATATGGTTTTTGAATACTACATTACATATACTAAGTGACATAAAAATCCGAACACCCAGTTTAAATGGTTTTATTTTAATAAAAGTTGGTGAATGTATTTATCTTACTGTAAATAACAAGTGAAAAAATTTTCAGCCTTATCAGTTGGACATTCCGGTTTTTATACTGCTTTTTTTTAATTCACTAACGCTCTAAAAATGAATATTTCAGCCGCAGTAAAGAATCAACGTTGGCGGATTTTGGTTCTTGACATCCTTTGCGATCGGTTACGATGCCTAGAGTACGGAGACCTGTACGATTTCGTCAACTTAGTGAGTTTGATAGGGGCCGTATAGTGGGACTTCGGGAAGCTGGACTTTCTTTTCGGGCAATTGCAGTTAGAGTGCAAAGAAGTGTAGACACTGTGGTTAGGTGTTGTTAGGCATGGCTTCGAGAAGGCCGTACGCAAAGAGCAAGGGGCACTGGACGCCGCCGTAGAACAACAGACCGTGAAGATCGCCGCCTAAGATTATTGGCCTTAAGGGACCGTTTCTCCACTACAAGGTCCATTGCAAATGAATGGTTTGCAGAACACGGAAGACCTATTGGCAAGCGAAGTGTTTACCAACAAATGAGAAGTTTTGGCTTGTTTTCATACCGGCCACACTGGGTCCTCCCTTTAACTCGAGAACACCGACGTAATCGCCTTGAGTGGTGCAGACAACGGTCACTCTGGGATCAGGAATGGAACAGTATTGTCTTTAGTGACGAGTCTCGATTTTGTTTAGGCATGCACGATGGTCGTGCCAGGGTTAGAAGGCGACGTGGTGAAAGGAGAAATCCACAGTTTTTTGTTGAAAGACATGTTCATCACACTGTTGGAGTTATGGTTTGGGGTGCTATAGCTTATGGTTCCAGGTCACCTTTAATCTTCATCAGAGGTAACATGAACGCGCAGCGTTATATCCACGAAGTTCTAGAACCCCATCTTTTACCCTATCTTGACACCCTGGCAGATCCAGCTTTCCAACAAGATAATGCCCGACCACATGTTGCAAGAGTCACAATAGACTTCTTTCAACATAATGATGTCACATTGTTACCATGGTCACCAAGATCTCCCGACTTGTCCCCAATTGAGCACGTGTGGGATATGATGGGTAGGAGATTGCTCAATTTGCAACGTCCTCCTCAGACTCTAGAAGCACTTCGAGAGGAGTTGGTGGTTGCCTGGAATGAGATACCACAGGAGGACATTGACCACCTGATCAGAAGCATGCCTAGGGGCGTTAAAGAATGCGTAGCACATCAGGGTGCATCCACACATTATTAAAGGTCAAAGGTATTTAAAGCAGTGCAATCATTTTGAAATTTTTATCATTTACTTATTATGCTTCATTAAGTACTTATACAAAATTTTATTAAAATAAAACCATTTAAACTGGGTGTTCGGATTTATATGTCACTTAGTATAAATCATGAAAAACTGGTACTCATTTCTGTCGGTCTTTTTTCCTGTCTTGAGCTGTACTACTCGGATTTTGAGTAATTTTTTTTTTGTTCGAACTGCATACCAATTGCATAAGCCTGTTTCACTGACTTGATCTATTTTATTCCTTTTTTGTATATGGTAGTAGATGAATTTGTTCTAAGAGGGGCTTATGCTGAACCTTCTTGATACCATTTGTTTTTGTTGTACATGTGCATTGTTAAATCTGTTTCATGTAAGCGCAGTAAGATGGAGCACATGCCATTGCTTTGTTGATTTTTTTAAGTGTAGTTGAGTTTGGAAATAAAACGAACATGACCAAATGAATGACAGAACTGCATGGAAAGTACAGAATCAATCTACTTCATTCAATTTTTTTAAGTCCCTTAGGGTTACACTGGTCGGTAGTGGAAAGGCATCTACACTAAACTGAGGAAAACGTAAGAGTGGTAGTAATGCTATGATCACAGAAATGTCACATTGTATAGGTTACTTGCCATATATGTGAAATGATAGCAGTAGCAGTAATCAAAGATACATAAAGGATTTTTCACGAGTCCACGGTGTAGCACAGTGCACTACCTGGATCCGATACTCAAATTTTCGCTAAGAACGGGAATAGGGGAAGACGGATCTGACGTCGTCCGAATATCGAAAAATCACGTAGTATGGGTACCCGCCTAACGTCTGTGAGGTATTAGCGGGTAACAGGCCTTATGTCAATGTCATTTAAAAATAGGGATCTCAATTGAAATTTTTTCTTCGCAGTGCCGAAAATTGAGTTAAATTATTAAATCATAAATGGAGAAACACGTCCACCTGATTTCAAATGACTAGGGAGAATGCCATCGAAGATATATGAACCGCACTTGTCATATAAAATGATTGATTTTATTGGTATATACATATGTACATTGCCCAAAAAACGATCAGTCTTTTTATTTCAGATTCAATCAAAGCAGCTAAGTTTATGAAGGAGCTCAAAGCAAATATTTTGGGCAACATGCGCCATCTAACCACTCCCGGTGTAACTTGAAACTGTCAAAACTTCGAGAGGAAGGGGAAATTCCATCTGTTCCCGCTCCGGTTCACTACGGGATCTCGCGAAAAAATCTCTATAGCTACTTAGAAATAGCTACAGTGAATTTTAAAAAGTATTATCGGTCCACTTCAGATCGCCTGTCTATCAAATCTACACTTGCTTCTCTAGAAATAGGTAACAATAGGAGCTGCTGGTTTGTCTGTCAGTCTTCTCCGATCGCAAACAGTGCATCAGCTTGTAGCTGGATAATATTGAAGTCCTTACACAATAGGATTTAATGGTCTAGAGAACATATTTCAATACACTTCATCAATGTTCGATCAACTACAAAGTTTCGACATGGCAAGGTGGCCATGAGATGTACACTGGAGCTAAATATACCAAGCACGCTAAAATCAATGCTTTATATTGAGTTGCAGTTTCCGTGAAACATCACTTCAGCTTCCAGGCATTCAATTAGGACAAGAGAGTCCATCGATAAAGGGCTTTTCTGATTATACCTGATGAAGGTTAACTAAGTTACAGGTGATTTCACATATTCTGGCGAATTGAA